AGAGATACCATCTCGCATACAATGTTCAACCTGGTTTCACCACTTGAACAGACGTTCAAATTCTAGCTTACAAAACTCTAAATAATTTTCTGGAATTGGAAAACCACCACTAACAAATCATTTTCTCTCAAAGTAGTGTATCACTCGCCTTCCAATACTGTAAGCTTTTCTTCTAAAATTTCGGTTCAAATCCAGTGAAATGGTCAAAGAATAGGAATGCTAAATCAGGCGAGAAGCGATCCCCAACGTCTATGTGGATCAGGGATCCACGTAGACGTTGAGGATCAGTTCTCGCCCTCTATCAACCCTTTTTAGGAAAATAATCTTTTACTCACCCAGTTACTGAAAGTCCTCAATTTGAAACGCTGATGTGGTGATATTAGTTCTGAACAGTAAGCCCATCCAACAACCTGAGTTCCTGTAATTTTATTTTTAATTGCCTATGCTGAACTTCGAAAGGGAGGATTAATGAGCTCAGCTTACCAGCAATACCTATACCAGTGATCATTCTTAGCAAATAGAATAGCGGAATATTGTTGATTGCAGCTGGAAAATCAATATATTGATTAGTAATAGCCAGAAATTAAAGATAGAAAGATTTGGGCTGAGGATAAAAGGTCTCTTTTTTATACAAAACATATTTTGTTAGTGGGTAATACTTCAACAAACTACGTATTATTATATTCTACTTCAAAACTACAATTAGAGATCTATTTTACTGAACCTACCAGATAGTGCTAGAGCCGGTATACCGATAGCAAGAGACAGAATATAGGTTTTACGACGTCCAATGGCATCGGCGATCCATCCCAAGAAAAGGTTACCCACCAATACGCCAAAATATTGTGCGAAAGCAGGACGGAAGCTGGAAGAGCAGTCCTTGTCATAAATTTTTTTTCACAAAGAAAAGAGTTTTTGAGCTCACTTTTTCCATCCAGGTTTGCAGGGAATTCTGTATTCCATTGCTGCAGATTTGAAGTAAGCAAACGAGTATTTATTGACACATTCAGCCTAAATTGAATCACAATCTTATTCCGCTTCCGTTTCAAAGTTCCGTTTTCGAGATAGCACTCTAAGATCTTCTCCCCCTCTAAATTAGTCGATCTCACTGATTACGGTACCTTAGCAGCCGGCGTAGTGGCGTTAGCGCAAAGATCCGGGCAGTCTGGACATTCTATGCACTTGTTCTTCGGTACTTCAAAGCATCGTTCTCCTACAAGAAAAATCAATAAATCGATGTGTACTCTATAACAGCAACATTCGAATCATTAACTTCTTTCTTATGCGCAAAATCAAATTTACAACGAATGTTTCGATTAAAGGGTGAGTTACTTACAGAGAATAGAAATAAATTAATTTTCAACGACTCAAAAAGAATCGATCAATAACCGATTAGTGATATAAGAAAAATGCAGCAGAATGTAACAACATCTTATTTTAATGAATTAGAGGTATTTCTACCATTGAATCGAAAATGTGTTATACTTTTTCTACTGTATACGGTAGGCGTACTGTATTAAGCCTATAAAAATAGTTGAACTCACCTTCACATACGGTTTTCGGAGTGTAGTTGAGGAAAATTGGGAATAGTTGTTGCACACCAAAGAAGTGGTTCAGTTGATAAAAGAACAAAACGAGGATGTCGAACCGGTAATAGCCTGGAAAAT